GACAATTTGAAATATGGGAAAAAAATCCAAATCATAGCAAAATAATTTTAATTAGAAATCATTACCTTGTCTTTTCACTCTAGAAATAATGGACCATTGAATCGATGTCAAATATCGCGACATGAAACTTTGCGACCTGACGTGTAAGGATCGAGGAATGGTCAACAAGATCTTTTAACAAATGAAAAAATAGTGATTGCTTTGATTTATTGATTATTTACGTCCAATTAAAAACAAATCAGTCAACTTTACGTTATTCAGATTTCTTTAAAATATGCCATCTAATATTTTAATTATTAAAACTTTATGATAAGTCATTTTTTAACAAAGGACTAACTAATTAAAAAGATTAATTAATTAGTTAGTTTTATTATTATTCGTCCTAATAAAAATAAATATGCCAACTCTCTCTTTTTATTGAACCAACTTTATTTTAATCTACTTCATCCTAACAAACGGATGATCAATGCAGCTTCGATTTAATAATTAATAAAGTTCACTATCAGCGGATGAAACAATTATATCAATAAACAACCAAATGAAAATTAAGGATATCTCTTATTTATATTTTTTATTAGATCAACTTTAAACTAAATTACCTTAATTTGAAAAGGATAAATTGAATGATTTGATTTATTTGTTTGTTAGGTGTCAACTTTAAGTGGACCCACTTTACGATAAGTGAATCTATGAAGCGAACGCTTTAGGACTTTTCAAATAAGTTTATTATTAACGACCATTTTTAAATTAATCATTTGTCAAAGGCTTTAGTAAATTAGACCTTTCAACTTTTGATTTTATTGAATCAACTTTACGGTGATTAACTTTGTTTTGATGAATGAATGCTTTGATTTATCAATAAGTGAAAAAATTTATAGGTTACCTGTTACTGGGTATATATAAATAGGGTGTTTTTTTTCAATATGGCATAACCAGCTCCAAGTTCTATATACATATTTGCAACTCCTGATCAGTAACGTACCAATAATTTTTTAAACATTATATAATATAAAAACATCATTGAAAAATATGGCCACGAGATACGTTGAAGATAATGACATCTATGCTCCATACAGATTTGAAGCACAAGACACCACTGTCAA